GCGTGGGGGGGGCGGGGGGGGGGGGGGTGGGCAGTGAGATATACCTGACTGTCAAAATTGTTGACCAACCAACACAAAGCATCTACCATTTAAGAATCAAAACTTTTAATAATAAAGAGTCACAGGAGAAAAATAATAATACAGAGAGATAGAGCTTAGATAACACTGGTCTGGGCAGCTCTAGATGTCCATCCACTGTCTAATTTGGAAAGAGTTCTTTACTTGCCTCCAACTAAATTATTCCCTTTAGGAAATTTTCACCCCTGCTACCCCAATAAGAGTGACGAGTTCTAGGACTTACTCTGGTCTGTTGCACTCTCGAACAGCTGTTTTGATACCCCCTCCACATGTTCTTGAGCAGGTTCCAAAGTGACTCCAACTTCCCCAGGATCCATCAGTCACAGGGACCTCCATTTCTTTGGGAACACAAAATCCAAACTTGCAGTGCTGTATTTAATAAGGGGAACAGTGAGGGAGAGCTCGGTGCTTGAGATATTGTAGGACCCGCTGTCCTCTTAAATACACCATACTTTCATTGTTTTCCATGTGCTGGTTTGAAATGCTACAATTTCATCATCTACGTGAGTCATGGAAACGGTAGGGAGTTTAATCTCGGGCTTAGTGGTTTTAGGCTGTGTCTTTACCACTGGCTTGAATAAAACTGCCCAATGAGTGGCTGGCTCCAGGTTGTTAGGGTAAGTCTCATGGCCAGCCTAGAAGCACTCAATTAGTCTTCTTGGAAAAGTGAGGCGTGGAAATGGGTTGTCTACTGGTTGTAGACAGGGCCGAAATGAGTTATTGGATTTGCATAGTGCGTCTCCATTAACAAGGCCTAGAGATGTTGTGAGCCTGGTAAAATACAAGGCTTTACTGCTCCTCACAGATTTGAAAACCAATTTTAATTAAATGGGAGAGAGAAAAAAAGGCTAGTTACATGATTCCTATAAACTCACTCTAGCAGGGCACACAGGATGAGACTAAAGCAAAAATGGACACACTACAGAGAGCCCTAAACTTTATTGCTTTTTGGTTACTCATGGTTTCTGATTCTGCAGCCTAGAGCAGGAGGAAGGCCATGATGCTTAAAGCAAAACAAAGTAAAACTCCTCAGCAGGACAAGTGAGTGGAGAAGCCCGTTTCAACCCCCTGCCATTGTTGGGGTGTGAGGCCCTGACACAAAGCGGAGGTCAATAAGCAATGGACAAAGGAAGAGGGGCAGCAGTGGCAGCAGGAGGGTGACGCCCTGCCGCTCGCTCAGATCTCTGAAGCGGAGCTGGTGGTGGCCACTGTGATTTATCCACCGGGAGGACCCAGGCACGGAGTTTAGAAGCAGAGTAGCCTGGAGGCCAGGCGGTGGGGGGAGCGTGTGGGGAAAGGGAACAGATAAGAGGCTGGTGAAGCCTCAGTCAATGGCCAGTCCCAGAAAAGGTCTGGCGAACAATTATTTTAAAGAGCGCAGTTAGGCTTTCTCTATTCTGCCCTGCCTTCTCCCTTGTAATTATCCTCCTGAGTATCTGAGGACACATCCCTTTTCCTGGGCTGTTTGGCTGAGGCTTAAAAGGTTCGGCATCCAAAGAATCCTGGGCAACTCTGCACCCAAGAAATGAGGGCAGAGGTGACCACATCACTCCCTGAAATCATTTTATAGCTGTCTTTACAGCGGTCTTGAACATTTCTTGGAATATATGCACAGAAAATCAACGAGAGGCAGCTTGGTCTAGAGCGCCACTATCCAATAAGAATATAACATGCGCCACATATGTAATTTAAAAAATTCTAGCAGCCACGTTAAAACAAATAAAAAGAACACTGAAAGTAACTTTAATATATTTTATTTAGCTCAAAATGTCTAAGACATTACTATGTCTCCATGTAACCAACATAAAATAAATGAGATTTTTTTCCCACACTTTTTTTCCATGCTAGATTTTTAACACCTGGTGTGTATTTTCATTTTAGCACATTTCAGTTCAGAGTGACATTTCAAATGCTCTCCAGTCATGGGGAGCTAGTAGCTACCATATCGGACAGAGCAGGTCTTAAGGGGACAAAGCTTAGCAGGCAAACAGTCTGGTGGTGTGGGACGACCATTCTACAAACTAACTGTGACCTCGGGTGAGTCACTGAACTCTACTTCCATAGCTGAAAAATGGGGACCTACCTGCCAAAGTTGTTTTGAGTGTAACATGAGACAATGTATGGAAAGCACCAAGTACACAGCTGAGCACATAGGAGACCCAACTTGAACAAGGTTTGTAATAATAAGAGCAAATATTTACATAGCACTTAACATTTGCCAGGCATTGTTCTAAGTGCTATGTCCTCACAGCATACTATGAAATAGGTACTACTATTACCCCCATTTCTACAGAAAAGAAAATGGAGGCACAGGGAGGTTGATGTCAAACATCTGGTAAGGGGCTGAGCTGATAATGAAACACAGACAATCTGGCTCCAGAGTGCGTACTCTTAGCTGTGACACATGCTGCCTCTCAACTGTGAGCAAATGGCAACAACTGTTGACATCTAAATAAAGACTGAAATTTAAAAGCAAGATTAATGAGATGGTTAGGTAAGGCTTACACTCCAATGTGTCTAACCAATATCCATTCTCTCCTTCATCCTTATTAATAGAATCTATATTTCCCTGGATTCTTGTATAGATAGGAATGGTCAAAGAGATGTCAGCAGAATTCATTGGGTCAGATTCCTGGGAAGGTCCTTTTGCCCCTTTGTTCCTTGCCCTTTGGCTTCATTCTGCCCAGGACTCAGAGTTGATGGCTGGAGCTATAGCAGCAATTTTGTGACTTTGAGGATGATGGCCATTTGCATATGATAGTAGAGCAGAAAGAAATTAGGAACCTGGGTCTCTGATGATTTTGTAGACCTACCATAATAGCTCCATGACCTGCCTACCTCTGACTAGTTTTTTGTGTGTGTGTCAGAAAAAGAGCCAACTTGCTTACACTACTACAATTTGGTCTGACCTGAACAAAATTCCTAACTAACATACAATTGAGGTCACAGCTGATGCCCAAATTCAGCCATCAAATCTTGACGCCATGTACACATTATAAATTCTATAAATTCATTATAAATTCTACACACTAAGGAGAACGTTCCTATGACTAGTCATGGACTTTCATAATGAAATTTGTCTGTAAATACATTTTTTTCCTCATGTCACTTCAGTCTTCAATCTGTTGGCCTCTCTATTCTATAGACTCTACCTCCACACAAGAATAATCTTCAAAGCGACCATAATTCTCATTAAGCATTACCATAAACCAGAGCAGAATAAGGGCATAGGTTAAGCAGAGTGCTGCCATTCAGCACTGGATTCAAATGTCCTCATAGGGTCCCTTTTGAAAAGAAAACCTAAGTAAAAATTCACCTGCAAATTAAACATTTCTTACTGATATGACCACTGGCAGGGGTTCACAGGGGAGGGAGAACCTCAGAGGAAGAGGGGAAGAACCTGAGGTGACAGAGGCTGGACATGGGGACTGTTTGGCGAATATGTATCAAGATAATCTATTTTGCCAGGAATTTGAACAAACAATAATTATATACTGGAAAAGCCATTACATCATAACAAAGCATTAGCGGCTACTGGAGCCAGAGCCGAACTATACAGTCAGCCTTTCCTCAAAGTGCTCAAAACCATTTAAATGATATTTTACATAAATGCTCTTTTTGAGATTGGAAGAATAATTTGGAGGTCAATTTTGTCCCAAGGAGGCTTAAAACACAAGAGTTTCAAATCTCAGATTTACAAACAGGGTTAAAATAAAAATGTTAATGGACTTAAGAAGAGAATGGAGAAAATAAAAGGACATGAGAGAGTCATTCATCAAAATAACATTGTGTCAGCAACCCAAGACAGATTACTGCTGAGGGAGCAGGGCAGAGAGAAGAGAAAGAGAAAAGAAAAAATTAACCCAGCAGCAAACGGATACAGAATTTACTAGAGAAAAGGATAAGGTTTTACTGCCAATTCTACGAAAACAAAAGCGAAATGGAAAAACACAAAGAACGTCTATGCCAACATATTTACCATCTTATTTGTAAAGTGCATAAATGTTCTTCTGGGGAATAAACAAATGAACATCCACATCGTTAATATAAGTTGCTAGACTTAACCGCTTTTCTAAAACAAACTAAAAATGTACCTATCATGTTCTCCACATAGCTGCTTCTCTGAAGGTGCTCTGAATCTGCCTTTTGGAATGCCTTGATGTCTCTTGCTTTTGCTGAACAAAAGCATACAAGGGAAATGTTTTCTGAAAGATCTCCCCAATTTCCTCATTTGTCAGGTATAAGATTACCATGCAATCTCTTATTTTCTGTTTCTGTTACAAAAACAGAAGACTAGAAGAAGACATGACAGACATCTTCCCAGGTTCTGTGCTCCACGACTGACTGGGATACCATAGTACTACATGGAGCGTGGTAGCCTGTACATGACTATTTTACTAAATACAATTCATTTCATCATACAATTGAAAGCTCTACTTTGTTATGGTTTTTGCAGCAGTAACATGTGTCAGAAATAGACATAGTAGGTGGGTGCATCAGATTGACTAAGAACCATGACATAATACCAGTGATTCTTTTGAGCTCAGACAGACTCCATTTAAATATATAGTTGGCTGGCTCCAACTCAAGCCAACTAGCCAAGTTGTCAACTAGATACCATGTCTATTGTCATCTCCCACCAACTGAGAGCAGCTATAGGCGTCACTGTATTTAGAAGGACTCTGAGGCCACGTCTTCATTCATGAAGAAAGAGTGAATGCTTGATGGCTGCCATGGAAACCTGAGAACCATATCCCCACTCAAACCTGTGATCCTCTGGCCATCAGAACTTTGAGTTAAATGTTTTGCAAAATGTGAAAGGTTGACTATGGCCAAGGAGATATATTTCTTCTTAAGCTAATGAAAGGTGTGGTGCAGAAACTGTTATGCCTACGTCCTTAGGCTGTTTTCTTAGGCGGCTCCTGGAGAAAGCTGTATTCTCAATTGCTAGGTCCTAGCCATAGAGAAGCGAGACCAGAGCTGATGGAGTAACCAAGCTAAAACAAGTGAAAAATCATCTTCATTAAAATTTTATAAAACCACCCTAATAAAATTTTTAAAATAATAAAACCACTCTGAGAAATGACTGGATAAGCCACTAGTTCTCCTATTTGACCATGGAAACTTAAAGAGCTCAGTGAGCTTGAGTTATGCACACTCCTGTGGACCCTGCAGCTCCTTCAGACAAAGAAAGCAAAGGAGAGAATTGGGAAGGGAGTGGGTAGGGTGTGTGAGGACTCTGCCCTGAATGAGCTGAATGACCTTGGGCAAGTCACTTCTCTTTTCTGTTTCCTATCTATAAAACTGGGGAAGGGACAGTTAAGTTCCTCATCTCTGAGGACCCCATGTTTCCATGGAAACACCCTGGGGGCCATTGATTCCACAAGGCAAAGCAGAAAAACAGAAAATGAGATGAGAACAAAACATTAAAAGTGAGTAAAGTTGACAATGAGAGAAGAAAGGAAAAAACTTATATAAGGATAACATGAGACTCAGATATAGTACAGGGATTACGTCATAGGTAAGTGACTGAACACCATTTTTTGTATGGATTAAAAAAATCAGGTTTATATCTAAAACTTTTTGTAACCAAAGCCTTAACATATTACCTTTTTTATTCTTTTTTTAGATGGACACCAGGTGCAAAAGGCTGCATTAATCATATTCCTAGTTGCTGGGACATTGTTATCATTGGGTTGTACAAGCAGCAGATTTTGTTTGGTTATTAACCAATAAGTAGGAGCCATTATAACCAACTCAGAATGTGGATTTGGATGTATCTCAGGTGACATCACAGTGTCTTAAAGGGGTCAATACAGGCTGGGAAAAGCCTTGTATCCAAGTAGTGAGCACAGTTAAGTCTTCCCGTATTTCCGTAATTTTAAGATGTTCCACCAACTTAATAACGGCCTTCCACTGCCACCCCAAAAGAAAGAGGAAGAGAGAGAGAGAGAGAGAGAGAAAAGAAATGTTACCTCACATTAAATGTACCCGTAAATTTAAAAGCACATTGGGATTTAAAAAACATTAAAATGAGAAAAAGTATGTCTTAAAATCGAGGCAATAATGATAGCTATGTCCCTCGTGTCAGTATTATGCTATAAGGTAAGTCTGTACAACCTTCAACAGTAAAGTTGAACCTCCTGCCTCAGAAAAGTATTATGTATGCTGAACTATGCTACATTAACTTATGTTCTAAACAACGGTGACTGAGCCTACAGCCCAAATCCTGCCCATGTCTGCCCCAAGACAGAAGGACGAATCGGGGTGTTACTTGCCTTTCCAGGCTCACACTCGGTCCCATCAGCCCAGGGCGTGTGCTGAGTCCGGCAGCCTTTGTGCGCTCCATCCACGTTATTGCACCACAGCCGTCTACACTGCATCTGCACAATTCAGTTGAATGACAATTCAGTGACGATGTGATTAGAGGATATCAAGCAAGGCAATGGTTGCTTTCAACTAACATTTTGCCAATGACGCAGAGCGTGGGTTAGAAAGGGGTTTTTTTCTTGGTATGATAAATGATAAAATATTCCAACGGATACAGAGAGCAGTCCAGGAGACACATTTCTATGCCTGGGAGGACTTGCCGGGTTGTCAAAGGGGAACTACCGTGCCACAGAAACATATGAGATGTCATCTGGTCCTAGTAACATCTCCCCATATTACAGATAAGGAAACTGAGCCTGGCCAGGAGTAAAGTATCAACACTGGAAACATGTGAGTTTAGGTTTGCGATGAGCTGCGACTGGAGAGTGGGTTTTGAGTTACGTTGTGATTAGAGTTAACGTTTGGCTTGATGCGAAAACTGGTGTTTTTTCCTACTAAGCATATGTTATCATGATCATACTATGACTCTTCTCTAGGGCTTTCAGGGGTTGTCAGAGGAAAGAAGGGACAAAATATCATGAAATATTTCAGGTATACAAAAAGTATGAACAATAACATAATGGATACCCATGTGTCCACCACCCAAACAAAGAAAGAAGACTTCACAGGCTCAGCTGAATGCCATGCACACTCATTCTCAATCCCAATCCCTTCCCCTTCTTCCCACAGGTAACCGCTGTCCTAGTGATGCTCATCATCTCATCATTCCCATTGCTTTTACTACAAATGTATAAATATCTACCAGTAATATACAGCATTTCAGCTTTAAACAAACAATGCTGCTCGGTATCTCAGAACATATGGATACATCCTACAACATCCTGTTTTCCTCCTCTACACACTATGTTTTTTGAGTTATATCCAAGTTGACATATTTAGCTCTATTTCAGGCAAGTTTTTAAAGATAATTTTTCCCCTGAGGATGAAAATAAACAATATTCATAGTAGAAAAATTCAGAAGCTACTATTTTTTAATAGAAAAAAAGCTTTAAATGATCCAGCCTTTCCTGAAGCTTTCCCCCCCTTTTACATTGAGAACATACTCTGTAAAATAATTGTTTATCCTGTTATTTTAATTTAAAACTATAGCTAGAGCATGTTCCCTTGTACAGTCACTTTTCAATTTTTGTATAATATTGCAGTAAATGGAGATACTATAGTTTGCCATTCTTGGGCATGTGCATTACTCCTGTTTGCTATCATGAGTAACAGAGAAACGAATATAATCATAGATACATTTTACAGAAAATTTTTTGTTACTTCCATGGAATGACTGTACCTGCCAATTTACCATGCTATCTCTGAACCACTCCCAGCAAAATAAACAAACAAATACGCAAAAGAATAGAATGGGGCATCCCAGAGAAGCACAGTTCTGCTGATATGCCTCCTGATAACCACTGGATCAAATCACTGGTCCAAATGTCCATGACACATACATCAAAGTATCACACACTTGCCAGCTGAGCTACCACCAGAACCAGTTTCAAGCCCCAGGTGGTCACAGGCCACAGCTTCGACAAGCTAAACCAGGGAAACAGGTCTGTCTCATGAATTCCTGAATCTAGAAGAGCGCCTATAATAAAAGTCATCTGGACGAGGCAGTGGGAAGAAAAGGAGACAAGGAGGGAAAAGGGCCGAGCTCTGTCATTACGAGCTTTGTAACCTTGTCCCCTCTGAGCCTCACTTACCACTTATAAAATGAAAATGGTAATGGCATCTCCCTTTTGGGCTGAGAGTGAAATGAGAAGGTTCAGGGAAGGCCCACATGCAACACCGAGCACTATTACTGTCTATCGCCATCATCACTATTACTATCATCATTAATAGTCAATGGACCACTCAACGAGTGCTTTATGTTAAGAGTGAGAATCCAATGGAAAACTATGAATTAAAAAAAAGTCCAGAATCCATTTATGAGGGTAGAAACGGCCCCCAGGTACTTACCATATACGGGCACACCTGAGAACCTGGTCCAAAAATCAATTCACATTGTTTATTCACGTTGTAAAGGAGGCCTGGCAGTTGGAGAGGCAAAGGATAGGGTCTGGATTCAGGTTCGTTAAGCAGACACTCGCCGTAACCGGTGCTGTGGAAAGCAGAAAAACAAAGATGGTGAGGGCAGTGGATAAGATATGACTGTCAAAGGCTCCAGATGACAGTGAAGGCCATTCTGTCATTTTAATGGTACAGAAGATGGTTCCTTTTTTTGTATTTGTTTTATTCATTTCATCCAAACTTGAGTCCAGAAGCTGAAGTTCTATTTTCGGCGCATACTTGTTTGTGGAACCACCAGCTGTGCATACAACATAACCAGGAGGAAATATGTAGCTGTTCCAGAATTTACCACCTTTCGGGGCAATCACCTATTTATTTATTTATTTATTTATTTTGCGGTACGCGGGCCTCTCACTGTTGTGGCCTCTCCCGTTGCGGAGCACGGGCTCCGGACGCGCAGGCTCAGCGGCCATGGCTCACGGGCCCAGCTGCTCCGCGCGGCATGTGGGATCTTCCCGGACCGGGGCAAGAACCCGCGTCCCCTGCATCGGCAGGCGGACTCTCAACCACTGCGCCACCAGGGAAGCCCACCTATTTATTTTTTGACGTCTTCTCCAATAGAGTAAAGTGTCTTAGGGGTAAAAATAGTGCCTTTTTCACCCAAGCATGGGGCCCTGTTCATAACAACAAGTGTTTAGTAAATATTTGCTGATTTGCTTAGTGTTACAATAAGAAACACTTTAGATCATCTGGTTAAAAAAACCACACACACACACACACACACACACACACACACACACACACACACAAAACCCCCAGCAACCGGCCAGTTCTTCCATGTTTCTGCAAACACCTCTTCTGGAAAATTCACACCTGGTGAGTTCTGATTAACAAAACCCCCTCTTCCGTGTGGCTGGGGAAACATACACCCAGTGACCTTGGGACAATCACTTAACCTTTTGTACATCTGGGAGAGACGAGCAATAAATCTGTGACACAAGGATATTGTATAATGTAACTGGGTCCTTGAGCAGCCTGGTGGGAGACTTAAAAAAAAAAAAAAACAAGAAAAGAGAGAAGGAGAAAGAGTCAGAGAGAGAAAGAGAGAGACAGAGAGAGAATGTTCTCAATTCGACAATATGGAGGTCTGCGCAATTTTCATCCACCCATGTAACGTTCTTCGGGGGCGTCTCACTTCCCCACCCCTTTCCAACACCAAATTACTAAGTTAGAAGCATATAAGTATTTGTGGCCTTCCTTCATCATGTCATCATATTCATGGTCCCTTCCCCAAGACCTGCACAGATTTCACAGCTTTACCAACAATGAAGCAACATTTACATATTCTCTTTAAGATCCCAACCTTTTTCTTGAGCTCAGTCTGTAATCTTCTAAATTCTGGTGAGGACATGAACTATACAGATGTCAGAGAGTATTTTTCTTTCCCCTCCTCCCAGGAATGTCAACAAAAATAACAACTCAAAAGGAACGCTTGACTCTACATTTTCTTTCCCACAATTAGTTCACTGCATGGAGGCCAGATACTAGCATGAAGGCTGTACTCAAAGAAAGTTCAACTCTTACTCTAAAAATTCAGTGATGTATTTTCGGCTACACTTTGACCACATCCAGGGGTTGGTGTAGAAGTTCAGTGTTGGGGCCATGACATGCTGGGGACTCTTAACTGCTTCTTCTTTGCACTTATTGTTGTCATCATGAGGCATGTTGAACCTAAGGCCAAGGAGACAGTGATATAAAAAAGTCAATAAACACTAAGGGATAGAGCTGCTATAATTGCACTGAGAACGCATCTTAGAGAAAAAATTCAACTGACTACTGCATTACGGATGAGAACCTGAGTCCTGGTGAGCAGAACAAAACCTACTGGAGTATGAAAGGTAGGAAGCAGAATAAAACATACTTCTGACCCAACGGAATACGAAGTGCCTTTAACGTAAAAAAAAAAAAAAAAAAAGTGTACGGGCCACTATTTGGTTTAGCTGTACTTCTTGGAATTGCAGAGGCTCTGCATGTGCTGTAGCTGGTGCTAGAATACAGTAGTTGGAATTCCTAATAAGCTGTTGAAGGCCAGTTTATAGAGTCAAGAACTTGGCAGGTTATGATAACACTGTGCACATAAAGAGTCAGTCAACTGTCAAAAGTTGAAGTCAAAAGCTTCCTAATGAGAGGCTCAGGGTGGGTCTTGGCATCTCTTCTTCTTTGGGTCAGGCTGACAGATGCTAAAACCCTGCAAGTATACCGTCGTAGAGGCATGCAAAGTTCGTGCACAATAAAACCCATTAAGAAAAACTGCAAGCATGGAAACGAGAGGCACGCCAATCCAGTTGGCTTAACCCAGAGATGGCAAATAGTTTCATGCTTCATGCCAATTACAACTGATTGGTACCAGCTTCCTGAAAATCTGGGCACAAAAGTATTCTTAAACTAATCCAGGCTCTGCCCGAGAAAAGGCTGTGATGGAGTGCCAACATCCTCTTGGGTCTGGGAGGGAACTCGGCAGCGGCATTAACACATACTTGCCATTCTTGGCTTAGAGACAGGAAGTGGGGAAAAAAATGACAGGAAGCATTTCTCAATCCAGAAACATCAGTTCTATGACCCACATGCCTTTCTCAGTAAGATAATTATCCATTGGGTAACAAGCTCACAGGGGCTGTCCTCTGGATGACTATTCCGAATCACAAAACTGATGTATATGATTAATTTGGCATTTAGGGAGGAATTCCCTTCACTAGTTCACCTTGAGTTACAAAAACAACGGAGTCAGAAACAAGTATGTAGACTTGCTTCATATAAAAATAAAAGCTGGAATAAAAGTCTGTGAAGTCCATACCAGTAATTTCTCTTATAAAAATTTGGCCCCCTCAATAATTGCCAGATGGGAAATGTAAGATGGGAAAACTCCAACTCTCTTGGTTGAGGCTTAATAGTAATAAATGCTTAAGAGGCTATTTTCTTAAAGGAATGACCGCCCAGGTTTCCAAATCCCAGCTGCAGAGTCAGTGTAATACATCCATCAACAAACCTAATACAAGCAAAGTTTTCAAATCTTCCTTGTTTGTTTCTCTCTGGTGCAAAGGAGCTAGTGTTTATTCCACACCCCACCATGACTTGATAAAATCCAGTTTATTTCACCGTGTAAACAGAAAACTTTTTTTTTCATTCAAATGTTAGGCACGTTTGCTCATAGCAGGAGTGGTATAACAACTATTCATTGAGCACTTACTAAAAAATAATTACCAAGACTTTTTTAGCATTTACAATGCTCCAGCTGGTGTGTTAAATGCATTTGATGCTTTATTTCATTTAATTTTATTCAAGTTTACTTGATTTCATTTAATTTAAAATTATTTTATTTTTTATTAATTTTATTTGACCCAATGAATAGTGTGCTGTTACTATCCACATTTTACAGAAAAGGCAACTGAGTTGTAGAGAGGTTTAACTATCAATATTTGATCAAGGTCACATGGTTACTAAGGGAGCTGGGATTGGAGTCTACTTCAGACTGATTCTAAAACCTCCTGCTTCGGAATACATACAAACTACATTCTCTCCTATGAGGCAAGTTGCGGAAGATCTGTCAGCAACACTGTAAGGATTTCTGTATTCAGTAGAGACTCAATTACCTCTTAAATGCTTCCTGACTCTTAGATTCTGGGTGTCTGTGAAGCTGGTACGAGAAGCCAGGAGCTATTTGTGAACATACAATGACGCTCAACAGATACAAGGTCAGTTGCTTTTTCCTCCCAACAGCTCTTGGGTTTTATATTATCAGAAAGTCATGACTGTAACAACTTAACATTTAACTTTGAAAAAGTTCATTAGAAAATCTGCTACCGAGTACGGTAGCAAATTTTTTTAAAAAAGGATTTTTACTTTTCTTAATGTACGAACAAAGCTAACTCAAAGAGACAAGGCGCCAAAAGAAAAATAATTCGTTAACAGGCTAGCAATATACTTTCTGTTTAAGCCACAACTCACATCATTCACCGATTATTTCATCTCTTGCTTCCTGACACTTTTCAGATGAGGGGTATATGTATTGTTTCCATCTTATAGGAAGGGAAACAGCATATATTTTCCTCAAGTCAAAGGGAATGTTACAACAATTCCATCCAGAACTTGGGTATCTGGCTGCCTGCTGACTCTGCCTTAGAACTAGTGCTCCAACATCATATGCTCCTACGCCAGCATTAGCTACTACGCTTTGGGTAGTTTAATATCTCTAAGTCAAACACAGGGACAAAATAACATCTACCTTGTGGGGATTATAAAGGTTAAGGGAAATAACATAAATGAAAGCTCCTAGAACAATGTCAACAACATGGTTTTTGCAGGGGGAGACGTTTGTTAACTGTGAATTGAGACTTCTCTATAGCTTAAAATATTTTGTTTTTGCTACTCAAAATTCCTACTTTCCTTAAAATGTCAATTTTATAAACTGGCTATCTAAAAGGGGTTTATAAACTCTTTTGGGGAAAGGAATTAACAGGAAATTAATTATATTTCCTTAAACAGTATATTCTCGTTAGCCATATTTTGGGGGGAAATGTTAATCTGTTAATCACACAAGGACTTCCCTGGTGGTGCAGAGGTTAAAAATCTGCCTGCCAGTGCAGAGGACACAGGCTCGATCCCTGGTCCAGGAAGATCCCAAATGCTGTGGAGCAACTAAGCCTGTGCACCACAACTTCTGAGCCTGCGCTCTACAACCCGCGTGGTGCAATGACTGAGCCCGCGTGCTGCAAGTGCTGAATCCCGCGCACCTAGAGCCCTGCTCCACAGCAAGAGAAGCCACTGCAGTGAGAAGTCCTCGCGCCGCAACGAAGAGTAGCCCCCACTCTCCGCAACTAGAGAAAGCCTGGGCGCAGCAACGAAGACCCAAAGCAGCCAAAAAAAGAAAAAAAAAAAAAAAAAAATCACACGAACTCTTGCCCTTTCAATACATTTCTATCTCTGTAACTTTCCCCATTCCATTCTCTGGCCCCACTGAAATGCCACCCTATTCCTCACTGTGAAATCTACACCTCCTATTTATATGTCTCAAATAATTTACCAGATTTCTTGTAGAACAAACAAATGAAAATCCCCCAAAGATTCTGTTAAAATAAGTTTGGGGGAACTGAGTTAAACGAAATCAATACTTTAATATAGGTCTTGTCAGAGCCTTTACTTCATGCCATTTGGCCTTGGCATTCCAAGCATGGCTAGACTAGGAAAAATATTTTTAAATCACTGGATTACAAAACTCTTTTTTTCCCCCATGGACCATTCTCTTGGAATCAGTGTTAGAGCCCTGTACTTTGGAAAATGCTGGTGAAATCAACAGCTTTCAAACCTAGTTCCAAGAAATCCTTGAGTTTCAAGAAGGTGTTTCAGAAATCAAAGGACAGGTAGCTGACTAAGCAGAACCCCGATCTGCCACAAGGGCTTAACTGAAAGTCATGCCTCTTTTATTCTCTAGATATTGGGCATCTGACGATATTTCCTTTGGAGAAAAAAAAAGGGCTGTGCTCTTAAAATACGCTGGAAAATATATGCATTATATGTGGAGTTGGATTAGAGATACCTCTATATATGCATCTTGCTTTATGCCTATTATACTACACTGCACATAAAGTGCCTTAAAAAAACATTTCGTGAATGAAAAACCTTGCTTAATAGATGATGTTATCTCTAAATAAAGTTAACATCTGACATGCAGATTGATACACAGCTGTATCATACTAAGGACATCTTTTGAGAAAATTATTTCAAAAGGATATAGTATGAGTAATTTAATCATTCTAGAAAGAAAAGAAGGCAGATCAAAAACCAGAATAATTTTGAATAAATTTATACTGTTTTGCCCCATGTTCTAACCAGGCTCTGGCTCTAAAGAACAAAAAGGAAAAGCCAATTTCATAACGACCAGACACTTAGTGAACATAATTAGGAAATAGTTTCTTCTCTGTATCTTTGTTCATTTTTTCCCCTAAAAGAGGGATAGCTCTGTTCCAGAGACTAATATCTAAAGGACAACCTTAGATATAACTTAAATAAGGAATGATCTGGGTTTGGGAAAATTGTGCAGGCCACAGCAATGTTGGAGGATCCTACTAAACAAAGATGTTGTGTCAGGTAAGTTCTCTGGGCTGATATACCCTCTGCTTCAGTGGAGGGGGTAGAAAGGCCCCCTTTTTTCCACTTTGCAGTAGGAAAGGAGCATATTAGACCTTGCCTAGAAAACCTGTACAGTTAAACCAAAGAGACGCATGAGCTATGGCTGAAGAGGGTGCACTGTACTTATTTAGCTTCCCAAAGTCAAAGTAATTTCTGCCAGCTACATTCCAAGCTTTTCAACCCTGCAAACTCAACTATGATTCAAGAAGCGTCTTACACCCTCTAAAGTCAAGTGAATGCTCACTGATGTGAAGGAACAGAAGTTTTAGGTCACTACAAATTAAATGAAAATATGGAGAAGAAACGTACACATGGCCCAGTTCATGGGCTATTGTAAATGCTGTACTCAATCCACTATCTTCACTGATAGAGCAGCTTCTGTAGGGATCACAAATGGTTCCCAGTTCAGCCAGACCTATTAGAAGGGAAAAAAAAAAAAAAAAAAAAAAAAAAAAAAAAAAAAAAAAAAAAAAAAAAAAAAAAAAAAAAAAAAAAAAAAAAAAAAAAAAAAAAAAAAAAATCCACAAGGATTTACTTTAAAAAGCATTTGTGGCTTGGAAGAAAAACATGTCATAAACTGTTGTAGCCAGAGAGGATACGCACAGTGGACTCACCTAAGGTATCACATTTGTCATGAGCTCTGCAGATATCCTGTCTGAAAGCAAAGCAGACTTAGGGTCTTGACACCGAAGAGTAAATGTCAATACAAGCAAACACTTTAGAATCTTCCAGGTATTCACAACATCACCACTTTAGGGGGGTGGGGGCGGGAGGGTACTGGTTTTACAAAAAGCAGACTAACAAAGCCAGGGATTTGCAACTCAAAAAAAGTTTAGGAATCACTGGTTTACAGATTAAAAGCTACACTGAGAGGTTTTCTTCTGCCACAGGGGTAGCCAAGGGCAAGTGAAAACTTTTCTGTCCAGGATTTTTCCTCATACCTTGAAGCAAGTGATTCTAGTTTCTGAAGAACATTCTGAGAAGGCTCTAAATGCCTTTCCTTTAAGTTGATCTAAGAGCAAGTGTTTGTGACCATATCAAAGGTGACTGATGGGAGACACACTAGGCCAGCAGACCTCTTTGCTGCCCTGCACAGCATTTTAAATATTTTTGAGCTAGAAGCTACCATTTAAAAATTGGGAGATTTCACATTTTCCAAAAAAAGTATCCTTATTTCTGGTTTCTTACAGAATCACAAAAGCTGGCAACATTGGACTTATATCCTGCATGGTAACGAGCTCAATGGGAATGGCAGCTGCCCGCTCTATACAGGTGTTTACTTTCAGACCTGCCTAACACATTTATTGCCTACTTGGTGGCGATGGGTTACTGGTTCTCCACCAGGGGTTATTCTGCCCTCCTCCACCACACACCCTCAGAGGGCATGTGGCAACGTCTGGACAACACTTTTGGTTGTTACAGTTAAAGAGGGGGGAGAGTTACTGATAGGTAGTAGGCAGAGACCAAGGATGCTGCTAAACATCCTGCAGGGCACAGGGCAGTCCCCACAGCATAGAATTATCTGATCCAAAATGTCAATAGTGCTGAGGTTGAAAAACCCTGGGCTAGGGGCTGGCTACCAGGAATATATGACCTCATCCCATCAACGTGACCAGAAACTAAAAGACTGGAGGAATAGACATCCATATACCTCGTTACAAGAACTGCTGTATCATGCTGGATTCCACCTGGATGGTTCTTTGAATGCTGCCACTGGCAAAAGTTTTTTAATGTTGTCTGGGCATTAAAAGATATGGAAGGTCCTTCCTAAATACAGAAAAGAATTATGGTTGGTCCGTTGCACCAATACCAATTAGATATGCCATTTCGGATACAGAGAGAAGAAAGAAGAAAAAAACTTTATTACCTGTTCATTATGAATCACAACTAAGTTCACAATTACAATATTAATTAAATTTCCAATACTTGGGTCTTTATAGATAGAGGCTACCTGCAACCGAGATAAATTTTTCAAAGTTAATTGTGAACTCCGTGTAAGCAATAAGCAATTCACTTCTTATGCTGGGCTCCACCTCTTTTTATGGTTCATGCAACATATGCATTTTGGAGCTGTGAATTTTCATTCAGTCAACAAACATTTCTTAAAAGTCTCTTTGTAAAATTCATAGACGGCAGCTTTAGACAGTAATGAATGCAAACAAATTTAAATTTCAAGGTGTTTTCCAAAGAAACTGCATTGCCATGTAACTTAGCAGTTCTTTGTGACAAAACACTGGATATTAACTTTTGATCAAGCTTTTTCATCCCAGTTGAAGCTGGATTGCCATTTATGGAATCTCACATGGACCACATACTTGCTAATACTGCTGTTGTACCAACCATTTGTGTTCTCCACAACCTCGTAACCTGTTTTGTTTTGTTTTTTGGTTTGATTTCATTATTATTATTAATTATGAGAGCTAACATCCATTGAATGCTTACTGTGGACTAGATCCTTGCTGAAAACTGCACAGCAACATTCTGGGCTAGGTGTGACTATAATCTTTGCTCAACAAATGAGGAAACTGAGGCTCAGAGAAGTTAAGCAACTTGTCCAAGACTAAACAGCCAGCAGTGAGTAGCAGAGCCAGAATTCTCAGCCAAGGTCAATCTGACACTGAGTCCATGCTTGTCGTCAAAATCCTTAACAGGTCTGAATATATGGGTTAGAAATGGAGTTGAGTCTATGCAAGGCCTGACTAGGTTTTCCTTTCCCTCCTCCAGGACAGGAGAGGGCTGGGGCACATGGGACTGAGCTTGAGGAAGCGGGGTGAGGGAGAGGGCGGAGGGGAGGCAGGTGGGGTAAGGGTTGGGGAACACAGTGGGGGGTGGTTCACAGCAGTTCAGGGAAACACAAAGAGAACCACAGGCCTCGGAGAAGGAAGGAGAAATTTTAAGTCAGTGATCCCAAACGGCTGCTCTTCATATTCATTGGGGGAATTTAATACAAGTAGATTCCCATTCAAATAAACTAGAATCAATCTATTAATAGGAAGCCTATGCTGAGGCTTAAAATGAATGAAGGCAGAGCACATGGGCTATTATGGAACAATCTCCAGTGTTTCAAGAAAATAGCAATATGTAACACCGTGTATGAGAATGCGCCATCTCTGAAAAAAAAAAAAGTGTATCCATACATATTTGCTTAAGAAATGTCCAGAGTTGCCCTGTCCAACATGGTAGCCACTCGTCACGTGACCACTGAGCACCTGAAATGTGGCTTGTCCGAATTGAGATGTGTTCTGAGTGTGAAACACATACTGGGTTTAAAAGACTTAGTACGGAAAAAAGTAAGTCTCGTTAATAATTTTGTAAATGATAACATTTAGATATAAAACAAAATACATGATTAAAATTAATTTTACCTGTTTCTTTTTTGTGTCTGTGCGGCTAACAGAAAATTTTAAATTACATGTATCTATATTTTAAAAAAATTACGTGTGCGGCTTGCATTATATTTCTATTGGGCAGTGCTGGTTAGAAACACGGACAAATAAACTTGTCACAGTGGTTGCCTCTGAAGGGGCCTGGGAGCCTGGGTGGGGAAAGGCACTTCAGCTTTCCCACTAGTCTTTGGATCTGCTTGATCTGTTTTTCAATCATGCAAATTTATTACTTTTTCAATTCAAAATGGGAGTAGAAAAATTCAAAATGGGAGTGAGAGATTCCTAAGACTCACCCCAGAGCTACTTAATTAGAATTCTGGGGAGGGGGATAGAGACATTTTCCAAAGCTCCACCAGTGCTTCTGATTCACAACCAGCATCCAAATGTCGACCCACACCTGGCTGTGCAAATTCACGCATCAAAGGGCACTGGTTTTGGGAAGTGGACAAGCTGAAGGTCACATGCAGTCCCTAAGCCACTATACTGGCTTTACATGACCATGGGCAAGCAACCCAACTCCTTTGAGGCTCAGTTTTCTTATCAACAAAATGAGAATGACAATTTACCTAGCAGAGTTGCCAGAAGGATTAGAAATGATGCCTTTTAAGTAAGAAGCACATTGTCTAACACAGAATAAACACTCACTATTGATGCCCATTATTGTCATTGCCTAATCTCATGTTCTCTTCAGTCACTTGCCTGAATCGTTGAAATGCCAGCCCCGAATGGTTCTCCAAAGCACTGGGTGGAAACCCATTCCCCAATGGCACATTTAGGGACATCATAAATCACCTCCTTTTGAATGTACTTACAATTGACATTAAAGTTAAAATATAGTGTTGAAGGTTTGCTCCGTGGTATAAAACCATTCTGTTGTCTGCCACCACCATCACTTCTACAAACCGTGGATAAGATAAAAAACGTTTTGTTCTCCTGTGGGTCCTCCTTTCCCTTGTGCTGTCCGTCTTGTTACCATAGGCAGAAAGGGCCCTTTTGGTTAAGCTGCTTTTTAATACTGCCACGTCATCAGCCAGGCTACTCCTCTCTCCCCATTTTCTCGTCCTCGTTTTCCTCTTGTCCTTACTGTGACTATTTTCGTGTTCTGTAACAAATCAGATGGCATGCATTACATTTTGAGCCACATCTATTTCACATTAAGAATTTAATTGGACACGTCTTAAAATGATGCCTCTGTCGTCAAATTACATACAAAATCAAGTTCTACACGCTGTGGAATCTCCGGGTGAAACTATCTGCGCTCTCATCTAAATGACTAAGGACTTAAAATTAGCTTTTCTGGAAGCTTCCATAAATGCTCACCAAAGGTGTTAGAAAATTAGGCCTGAGTTTAGGGGAAACAATTGCTTATTCTTTTCATTCAGTCACAAAAGTCTGGCCGGGGTTTAAGTGGTTTGTATTCAGTGTTCTTTGCCATACATGGCGTAAGGAAGGGCCAACAGCACAGCTATAGAGCTCTAGAGAATGGAAATGCTTCACGTACACCACTTTTCATATTCAGTGAGATACAGTATAAAGGGGCCTAAGAGGTGGGCAAGCTAATAGACAGTACAAAGGAACTACAGAAAATGAATGACAAGGTATTATTCTCTTACCGTATTCAATCACTGAAATGCATGAAATGTAAGAACAGAATCACTGCTGTTCAATGCTTCCAAATTTTTAATTAATTTGTTTCAGGGCTCAGTTGAGGAAGTAGATTCCACTCAGGGAGTATGAATAGGTAGTTGGGACTGTGATATATAATGCCAGATGAGGTCTCCTCATTTCTGATTCTAGCCAAGGTACCTCTTGGATTCTACACAAGCTTTCAGCTCACAGTGTGGTCCGTGGACCAGCAGCATTGGCAACTCCTGGAAGCTTGTTAAGAATACAGACTCTCAGCCATAAAAAGAAACGAAATTGAGCTATTTGTAGTGAGGTGGATAGACCTAGAGTCTACACCTACACACCTACAGAGTGAAGTAAGTCAGAAAGAGAGAGACAAATACCGTATGCTAACACATATATATGGAATTTAAGGAAAAAAATGTCATGAAGAACCTAGGGGTAAGATAGGAATAAAGACACAGACCTACTAGAGAACGGACTTGAGGATATGGGGAGGGGGAAGGGTAAGCTGTGACAGAGCGAGAGAGAGGCATGGACATATATACACTACCAAACGTAAGGGAGATAGCTAGTGGGAAGCAGCCGCATAGCACAGGGAGATCAGCTCGGTGCTTTGTGACTGCCTTGAGGGGTGGGATCGGTGCTTTGTGACTGCCTGGAGGGGTGGGATAAGGAGGGTGGGAGGCAGGGAGACGCAGAGGGAAGAGATATGGGAACATATGTATATATATATATAACTGATTCATTTTGTTGTAAAGCAGAAACTAACACACCATTGTAAAGCAATTATACTCCAATAAAGATGTTAAAAAAAAAAAAAGAATATAGACTCACCGGCCCCACCCGAGACCTGATAAATCAGAATCCACGTTTTAACAAAGATCTCTAAGTGATTCATATTCATGTTAAAGTTCTGACAAGCACTAGTCTCCAACTTGGTTTGAAACTCACGTTGCTGGTGAAAATATTCAATTTCAGAGCCATCAACCACACAATAAACAGAATGAGCATAAAAGTTCCTGCTAAAATATGCTTTGAGTAAGAACAGAATTTAATCAGTTATCTTGTCTATCAAATCATAAATGTGTTTCAGAGTTTTAATGACAATAGTTTGTAGCCCAAATAGGCAACAGAATTACACAACTAAGAAATATGCTTTCCTAAGACACAAGAAATAGAATTTATTACACCAGTAATAACAACAAAAAAGTCATAAACTCTGAGTGGTTTCATATTTGAAGGGCTCAAATATTTAACCATTATAACCTATTGCTAAAACAATCAATTTAGGCCAGGATGTGTATTTTGCTCAAGTCGAGTGTTTTAGTGGTTGTTAAAATAGTGAAATCAGTCCAAATTGTCAAACAAGTTATATGTGGTGCAGCTATAGATAACATGACTAGCCCTAAGCCTGGTACGCAGTAGGATTCAACATCAGACTATTTTTCTTCCAGTCTCTCTTTCAAGAGTATTCATGTATGTATACCCATGCCATATAGGTACTTGGGCTGTCATTCCATTTTTAAATCACTAGTGATTACAGAATAGATACTAGACAAGCACCTACTTCATGCCAGATATTGAACTAGGCTCTTTTACATATGTTATCTCATAATTCTTCTCAGGCTGAGAAAATTACCTCTGTTTTACAGATGAGGAAAATAAGTCTCAAAGAGATTGAACAACTTGTCCAATGTCACGTACAGGATGTGGTGGTATCTGGAATCAGGCATGGATTTGATCAACACCCTAAACAATGCTCTTTCTATCAGGCAAAACTGCTCAAGAGCTAAGGACTGAAATGGGCTCATGGTTTGGTTGACAGTTTCTAAACTGAGCCTGAACTGGAAAAAAGACAGTGCCTGGTGGATATTTTCACAACACTAGCTTTCTACATAACAGGTGTACGGAAGCAACGTTGAAAACTGGATTTTTAAAAATACATTAAAATGTGTTACTTATTTTGTGAAATAATACCCTTCATGTCTTTTGTAAATATTTTAATATAATTTATTATAATCAGTAAAGTTTCAAAGGTTTTAAAGTCTCTGTTGTTTTTCTATTCTCCATTTCATTATTTCTGCTGTAATCTTTTTGTTTGTTTGTTTGTTTGTTTGTTTTCCCCCATTTTATTGAAGATGAAATGGGAATTCTTTTTTTTTGTTTTTGGGGTATGCGGGCTTCTCACTGTTGTGGCCTCTCCCGTTGCGGAGCACAGGCTCCGGATGCGCAGGCTCAGCGGCCATGGCTCAGCCACTCCGCGACATGTGGGATCTTCCCGGACCGGGGCACGAACCCGTGTCCCCTGCATCGGCAGGCTGACTCTCAACCACTGCGCCACCAGGGAAGCCCTCTGCTGTAATCTTTATTCTTAGCTTTCTCTTCTTTTTCAAGTGTCTTAAAGTGGAAGCTTACATTATTGACTTGAGATCTTCTTTCTTAATAGAGGCATTTAAGACATAGCTATAAATTTTCCTCTAAGCCATGCTTTAGCTGCAACCCATAACTTTTGACATGTTGTCTCTTCATTTTCATTTATCTCACAGTATTTTCCAACTTCTCCTTTGGTTATTCAGGAGTGTGCTATTTACTTTCCAAATATATTTGAGTTTCCCATTTCTCTGTTATTGATTTCCAATTTCATTTTACTGTAGTCAGAGGAGATACTCTGCATTACTTCTATGCTTTTAAATTTACTGATATTTGTTTTATGGCCTAGCATATGGTTTAGTCTGGAGAATGTTCCATGTGTTCTTCAGAAGAATTTGTGCTCTGCTGTTGTTAAATAGAGTGTTCTACAGATATCTGTTAGGTATAGTCGGTTTACAATGTTGTTCAAGTTTTCTATTTATTGGTTAATCTTCTGCTTAGCTTTCTATCCACTGCTGAAAGCGTATTGAAAGTTTGCACCTATTATTGTTGATTTTTTTAATTTCTCCCTTCATTTCTGTCCGTTTTTGCCTCATGTATTTTGGTGCTCTGATATGAGATGCATATTTGTTTATAACTGCTAAGTATTCCTGTGAAATGACCCTTTATCACTATAAAACATTTTGATAAACTTTATCAATAAAGTGAAGTAACCCAGTCAAAAAAGACCACATATTATATGATTCCAGTCATATAAAATGTCCAGAATAGGCAAATCTATAAAGACAGAAGTAGATTAGTTGCTTAGGGCTGGAGGTGGAGTGGGGACATGGGGGGAGGCATTGATAGGTAAGGGTTCAGGGTTTCTCTTTCAAGTTATAAAAAGGTTCTAATATCGACTGTGATGATGGTGGCACATAGCTGTGAATACACCAAAAAACCACTGGACACTTTAAATTGATGAATGGTATGGCATGTGAATTATATCTTAATAAAGCTGTTAAAAAAAGAAAATACGTCACTTCGTTTGTGAAAAGCAGATAATCTTTACTCATCGTCTTCCATAAATATCCTGACTTATCAGGTTAATTTATAGAAAAGCATAACCGCAGTGAGAAAAACACTGAGGAAACGTTATATAGAAGTCACTCTTTGGACCATTCAGGGGAATCATCTCATCAGAGGGGACGTGGGCATGGGAAAACCTGAGGATAAATCAAGGCACTAAGTGGAAAAAAGGTACACTTATTTAAGTAGCAAAGTTTAAGAAATTAAGGCATTAATCACTGAAAGAGATTTCTGACAGAGAACAGTGGTAACAGAGAAAAACCCATGTAAATTCTAATATACCTGGAAGACATTTCATTCACAGTTAATCTGTGTGTCAAAGAAACAATTCAGTATGCTTCACATGGTATAAAAATGCAGGAATAAAATTACTTCTTCAGAATCAAAAGCAGCATCTTCTAACACATACTTCCCAGTCTTTTAACCATCTGACCTTTTATCCTAATGAGTTAGAATACTATTTATTGACCTAATTAGCCCAACGAATTTCTACCTCATTAACCATTTTAGCAAGCAGTTTTGAATTTCTCATTACAAAGAGTAAGAGCTTTAAAGATTCAAATATTCGCTGTGACTACAAATGCAGGAACATTTTTACTGACGATGGAAAAAACAGACACTATGACTGGTATATCTACTCAACTCTCTGGCCTCTGAATAGAAATTGTTAATAGCAGAGAACAATTTCTACCAAGGGACACACAGTGCTAGGATAAAAAGAAAGTCATTCACATTTCTCTTTAGTGACCTTTTAGCATAATGGAACTGAGACTAGTATTTGAAATTTGCAAGGTCACTTTGCTAATAGTTTTATCAAAATGAGCTACGTAATGAAATTTCACCCTGATAGAAAGCACAGTATGAATGGTCTATGTATTTTTGCTCTTCATTTCACCCACAGAAAGCTTTACGTTTGTTATTACTTTTTTTTTTTTTTTTTTTTTTTTTGGGGTCCGCGGGCCTCCCACTGCTGCGGCCTCTCCCGTTGCGGAGCACAGGCTCCGGACGCGCAGGCTCAGCGGCCATGGCTCACGG